TCACGAATGAGCAGATGATACCAAGCAATGAATCAATGATGGGTGGTTCCCTCGCTTCGTCATCATAATTGGACAGAAAAAAATTCTTTCCCATAATCAATCCTTCATTTCTTCCTTTTCCTGATTCATGTTTCCTTTCACATTTCTCCAACAAGGACTGTGAATCTTCCAGACTGCATCAATTCTTGGTAAGATCCCGCGTGTTGAACCATTCCATTCTTCAAATCCATTCTTCATAACGGTAACGAGAGTAGGATGTTTCAGAAACGCTAGCTCGTTCGTTGCCAAGTACACTGGTCTTGTTTCTTCAAATTCATTTCCTATGGGTGAGGAAAAGAGCTGACCACGGATAGCTAATATGTACAGCGCACACTGGGTCATCAAATAAGAACATCGTGATTTTGATAAACAGCACAAGCTAAAGCTATTCCGTGTCCTCCCGATAGGTTAATTCCATTCTCACCAGTTTCCGTAAGTAACTCATCGGTGTCATCTAGGCGAAGTGCGTATGCATCTAGCGCACGATTGTACAAATACTTTTCGAAGATCTTCCCAAAAGTTACGATACTAAGTCTATTCTCCATACATGGTAGCAAGATCAGAAACACCCTTTCGGTGAACACAAGATCGGGCTTCACACGTATGATATCATCACACTGCTTCCTAATAGACTCCTCTTCCTATATAGAAATCATCACAAATGAGTGATCCAAACAGGAGAATCATCTTATGGAACCTAACTAACCTGCTCGAGAATCCTGCTTATGACCTCTTCCTTCATAATCTCCAGTGATGTTGCGATTCACCCTTCTTGTACTCCAGATTAACGCAATCATGCACCAAAACAATCCCGCATACCTGCATGGTAGTGTTGTAGTCATGTTCGGACAAACTAAGTGTCAATGATAGGATCTGAGCATCAACCGCAAGCTCCTCAAGCTCCTCGGCTTTGCCAAACACCAGATTTCTATAAGACTAACGACCTCATGACAGTTATCTGGAGCTAATCAGCAATCACCTGTGCACAGTGATGTTGGAACGAAAGTGGCTCCAGAATCTCGCATGACGTTTGCACATCTGATGCATCTT